CCAGGTACATCATCATCTCCTGTAGCCTTTCCCTTCCTCATTTCCTTGATAGCTTTTTCCACCTCACTCTCGTCTGTATCTACTACTTCTTCCGGTTCAACTTCTAAGGTTTCTGGCCGATTAGGTCGATCATATAGTTCTGTAATATAATTTTCCCAAATTTTCAGTACTTCACTCTGATCTACTATTCTATATATGCTTTCAAATAGGTAACATAGTTATAACTTGAATTATTTTTAGGGATCCTAAGAGAATCAACTGGGAGTCATGAAAAGACAACCAAAGTGCAAATGTTGAGACCACATCATGAAAAATTCACATGATACGAGACAGGCTGTTGACCAGCTGCAAAAAGCCATCATCTTGTCCTATCATACCAACTGTCCAGCCACGAACACTCACTCACCAAGGAAAGTACCTTGGTGGAGTAAAATGCTGAATGGGCTGAGGGCCAAAACAAGAAAGCTATTTAATATAGCTAAAAGGACATGACGCTCAGACACTTATATAGAGGCCCTCACCTTTTACAATTTCTTCATCACTTTTGCTTTCACATCTACTGACAAAAAATGGGTTCCTTTGAGCACCGACTTGATTTTTTGGAAGAGGAAGAAATCGCAGGGAGCCAGGTCTGGCGAATAGGGTGGGTGCTCAAGCACAGTGATGTGATTAGCTAAAAACTGCTTCACAGACAAAGTGTTATGGGCTGGCATGCTGTTTTGATGCAACCGTTTCTCCATAATTCTGGTGGTTTCCTTCTCATGAGTTTATGCAATTTCATCAAGACTTCAAGGTAACAATACTGATTTACCATCCGGCTGCTGGGAACCCACTCTGTCATTACAGTACCCTGGATATCAAAGAAAACACATCAGCATGCCCTTGAACTTCAAACAATTCTTGGATGCTTTGTGCCATTCAAAAATACATGCACAAGACATGCACTCTTCACTGTAAGCCTCAGCCAGTAATTGAAAAGTTTCCATCATGGATTTCTTCAGTTTCACAAGAAACTTTATGTTAACACACTGTTCACTCTTTCACTCCAACATTTTCCAACCAAGGGTAAAAAAACATCCATATCTGAACACACGTCCACTCATACTGAGTAGAGCTATGGAGTTGAGTGTTGTCTCATTGTGACAGGTTAGAAAATGTGTTATAACCTTCTCTTTGTCTTTCCCCTCCCATTCTCGGTTCCCAAACTATAGGGTTTGCTTAGTGAGGGGGGGAGTCCTAATTGGGTCCCCTCAGCACTGCGGCCGCTGATTGGCCTATTGTAGCCTGCCTCGGGTGATTATGATGATGGAGAATTTGGTGGAATGAAGATTGGCAGGGGAAACCGAAGTACTCGGAGAAAACCCACTGCAGCGCCACTTTTTCCACAACAAATCCCACTTGACCAGACCTGGATTTGAACCCAAGCCGTCGCAGTGGGAAGCCGCAACTAACCACCTGAGCTATGGCGTGGCCCCAAGCTATAGGATTAGTCTCGTTTTTTGTGTGTCTGACCATGTACTTTTCCAGTGCAGTGTTGATTGATTATTCAAATGACTGACATGACAGCAGAATCTTGATGTATGCAGAAGCAAAAGGAACAGGGAAGACTGGATTCTGGCCAGGATGTAGTTAATAAATCCAAAATTAAACGAGCATTAAGTATCTGTAAACCACTCCAATCAGAGGGAACAGATGATATTCTGCCAGCATTCCTGCAGCAAGGGATGAAGCACCTAGTTCCATACCTGTGCTGCATATTAAGAGCCTGCCTGGCATATGGAGGGACATATCCCCATGGCCTGGAGACAAGAGTGACATTCATACCAAAGCCTGGGAAATCTGATTATACTGAGGCTAAGGCTTATTGTCCTACCAGCCTGCCACCTTTCCTTTTGAAGATAATAGAGAAGATAGTGGACAGGCATATTATGGACTGTGTATTGAAGGAGCATCCTCTGCATCAAAATCAACATGACTACCAAACTGAAAAATCAACAAAAATGCACTTCACAATGTGGCAACATGCACAGAAAGTGCTACTGAATACAAGAAAAATCCATAGAAGCATTCCTTTATAGGAGTTTCTGACAGAACAGGCTGCTGGAAGGCATGGCACTGAGTCCACCATTTATAGGTGGATCTGCTCCACGATGAAAGGTGGAAATATAACAATTACATTATGAGGATATAACCTGAGGGGGTCCACAAATATGGGATGTCTTCAGGAGGGTATGCTTTTGCCTCTACTAAGAAGCCTGGTTGTGGTTGAACTTTGATAGGCGCTCAGTGGTAATGATTATTATACAGTAGGTTATGCCAAAGATACTGCAGTCCTAATCAGTGGGAAAACCCTCAGACTATCAGAGGTTTTACAAATATGTCACAATACCTTATACAATGAAGAGGGATATAAGGGGACTTAAGGAACCAATGCTCTTCACTAAAACAATCCAGGGGTCCAGTGGGGTTAAGTACTTTGGACTAACTTTAGACAAGGGACTGACAAGGAAACAGCAGCTGAATAAGGTAATAAACAAGATCTACAGAGTCTTTTGGACTTGCAGAAGAATGTTTGGGGAATCTGAGGACTGAGACCAAAGGCTATGCATTGGATATACACCACGACTGTGAGACCCACAGCCGCCTATCCTGCCATCATGTAGTGGTCTAGGGTTAAATTCACAAGCAGAGCTGAACTTAGCAAACTACAGAGGCTGGCCTGCTTGGGTTTACTGGAGAAATGAGGACAGCTCCTACAGCTGCAATTGAGGTCCTCCCTGGACTCTCCCCACTGCACTTGCAGTTAGAGGTAGTGACCAGAGCAGGAATCCTAGACCCCACTGCAATAAACACTGAAAACTCAAATCCAAAGGATATGGGCATACATACATGCCTCAAGGCATGAAAGAACCCCTCCTATAGATGGGGACTGATAAAATGATACTGGGACATGTCTATGACAAGCCTTTCACAGTCAGATTCTGATAGAAGTGAATGGAAAGATAGGTTTCAACCAAACCGGAAAGGGGGACTAGTCTGGTACTCAGATGGTTCTGAGACAAAATAAAGGCACTGGTTTTGGGATATATGGTTATGTTACATGGACAAAGCTTAGCTTTAGCCTTGGAAAATACACCACAGTATTCCAGACAGAAGTGTATACCACTAAGGGATGAGCAGTGGGGAATCTAGACAGGGGTTATAAACATCTATATTCTATAAGATAATGAAGCTGCAATTAAAGCACTTGAAAATTACCAGAACAACTCAGAACTGGCCTGGGACTGCCATCAATCCCTCAAAAAACTGGCTGAACATAATAGACTTCAACTTATATGGGTGCTGGGTCACAGGGTCATCAAAGATAATGAAACTGCTGATCAATTGGCAAGATTTGGATCTGAATGTCCTTTTATAGGACCTGAACCACTCTGCAACCTCCCAACAGAGATTGCCAAGAAGGCTGCCAGGGACTGAACAAACAGAAACCATAAAAAATCGTGGGATTCCTTAACAGAACCCACACATGCAAAGAGTTTCCTGCAAGGGTCCTCTGCCAGTCAAACTAAGATGTACTGAAACTAATTAGAAATCAGTTACAGTGGGTGAAAGGACTACTTACAGGACACTGTCACCTGAAAGGACATATTTTCAAAATGGGATTCATCAATAATCCCACTCATGAAAGGTGCCCAGAAAAAGATGAATCAGCCACACATGTCATATGTGATTGCAAGGCCACAGCTTACTTAACATTGTCACCTGGGACACCACTTCATGGAACCAGGAGACTACAAAAACACCCCTTTAAGTACGATATTACACTCTATCTGAAGTGTAGGATTGTTGAAGGGTTCAAACAGGGTGGGATGCACAACAGATCACAATGGCCACAGTGCAAGGATCGGTCAAGGCCTACCCCTTATTTATTCATTTATTCATTCATTCATTCATTCATTCATTCATTCAAATGCAAGTTTTGAGAACAAGACAGATGCACAGCTCAGTTATCCCCCCTGACTACTGAACTCAAACTACAAGCATACTGACCAGAGAAAAATGAAAGTATAAAGTATTTTTTTATTGCTAGTGGGGTGGGACTAAGACCCTTGTACTGCGGCCACTTCTGGCCTATTGTACCAGCCCCAGATGATAGGTGAGGTAGATTGTGGAGCAATTGGTGGAATGAAGATTGGCAGGGGAAACCGAAGTGCTCAGAGAAAACCTGCCCCAGCACCACTTTGTCCACCACAAATCCCACTTGACCAGACCCGGGATCGAACCAAAGTATAAAGTAACAAACATGTCTAATAAATAACAAAATAATAATTAAAAAAGACCCTTGAAGAGTGTGCATAAACATAAATATAAAAAATAATAAGTGAGTTTGATTTGATTTGTAGTGATGTTTACCCTCTGAAGATGGTCCACAGAGGCCGAAACATGTAAGGGTGTTAAGTTTTTATGTAGTAAAAGACTTACAGGTCACATTGGACGGAGTGTTTTATAATTTGTAATAAGTGGAAAACACATAAAGGAGTACAGCCAACCCCAAAATACTGTGTATAATAATTACACCTTAGGCAATGATAATGTCAAGGAAAATGTAACGAATTAATCATTGTTATAAACATTTGGAGAATCATGAGCAGTGATGAATGATCCAGTGAGGCAAATAGTGTCACTGCCACGGTCTCCATCACATTTTTTCCAAGATTTGCAGAAAATTTGATTTACACTCTTTGTCAGATCCATCGCAAAATTCAGTCAGGCCAGATACATGACTCCAATTAAAAGGATGTAAAAAATCAGCATGTCCAACCTGCTGTGTGAAATTTTGTACACTGACTCCCAAGATATGCTAGTACTACCATCTACCATTGCATTGTGCTACTACAACTGTTTTACAGATGGCAGCATCAGTCCCAGAAATTATGGATACCACCTCGTATTCCAGGAATCACCACATGTTACAAATTATGTGACAGTTTCACTGTTACCTTCAAAAGCTGGTGTTCATTAGAGACATCCAGTACCATTGAACTAAGAACGTTCAACAGAGTCTCTGGTGGCACATGAAGGAACTCCTCCTCCTCCATCACAGATTTGAAGTTGTGAAGTATATAACGAAATGCTTTGTGTGCTATGTCACTATAACTGCATAAAGTGGCATGCACATATGCTGAGAAGCAATTGCTGGTGTTCAACGTTGACAACAAGTAAATTGAACATGCCATTCGTATGGCCGACACTTGCAAAAGTTCTGCTATTTCCATTATCAGATACACATTTTCTTCTGTCACCTATAATTAACATACAAACATTTTCTCTGAGCAATGATATAAAATATTAACATGTTGAAGCTGGTACCATTTGCACACCCCTTTCTCTTGTGCTGGAGGGTTTCAAGGTGCACAGAATAAAATCATCATTTTGTCACTTCTGGTATATAAATTGTGAAATTTTTGCACAAGTAAGGAATATGTTTCACTGACATGCAGAATAAAAAAATCAAAGGCAGTTATGTTCAAATACAGAGCAGTATCAAAGATGTAAATATTCTGAGATAAACTCTGACTGTATACTGATGAGGCACACTTTATGATTTCAAAGATTTATAACAGCACTCATATTACTAATGGAAATGTTTGTAGTGTCACCATACAGATTTCATATGACAAATTTAAAATTATTAGTCAGTTAACAGCATAACACCAAAACATTTTCCACAGTCACTGTGTTGTAATTTCACATTCTCTTAAGAAATAATATTTTATGTTTTTTTATTATTATTGGTTCTGTCACCACAATTTGTGTATAAACTTTATATATTATTTTATAACATGTTTCAACTCTTTAGATCAATCATCAGGTAAAATATGTTTATTTATTCTCTTCTTTGCTGCTATTATCCCTTACACTGACCAATGTTTACAACTGTGGGAGGTCATACATGTTATTTGTCAATGTCAATGCTAACATACAAAACTATATGCAAAACATTAAAATATTAAAGTACTAAATTATTAAAATGTTTCATTTGTTGTGGTGTTGTGCGTGTTTATGATTCTTTTCCTCTTTTACGTTGATCTGGTTGTGAAAGGTGTGTCTGCATGAGTCAACAAGATCAACCTACTACAAGAGAAAAAGAAACATAAACACAAACAATTCCCACATATCACATGGAATACATAAATCTAAAAACCAACACAAAACCAATATTTCAATTCATATAAGACGAGACCACTTCTGCTGTGACAAACAAACAACACTACTTAATAACACCATCAACAACAGTAAAACCATTAATATTTTACTATTTTAACATATAATGTTATATGCTGGAATTGAAGAAACTTCTGCAGCAATCCAGTAATAAACATTATTTAACAACACTGAAACAAATGAAATATTTCAACAATTTAGTACTTCAGTATTTTCATGTTCTGCACCTAATTGTATATTTTAGCATTAACACTGACAAATATCATGTATGACCTCCCCCAGCTGTAAACATTGGTCAATGTAGGGGAAAACAGCAGCAAGGTGTAAATATTTTACTTGATGGCCATAAGGGGCTGAAACATGTTGAAAAATAATATATAAAGTTTATACACAAACTGTGGTGATGGCACCAATGATAAGTTGTTCATGCACAATGTAATGCTGAAATAACATATACAGGGTTATTCAAAAAGAATGAACCAATTTCATGACGCATTGCTTCAGTTCTCAAGCATCATCATGGAATGAGTCAGTGACCATTTGAAAGAGGAGTTATCTAAGTTGTGAATGGCTGCCACAGGGGCGCTGAAGTCGTGTCGTTCTTCCGGCAACGTTCAGTTGTTCGTTTACCCTTGGAATGGCGAGTCCTCAGCAAAAGGCGTTCTGCGTTCTCGAGTTCGCGAAAACAAATTCGGTTGTCACAGTGCAGCGTGCTTTTTGAAGGCGATTCGGCATTAATCCGCCCGGTCCTAAGAACATTCGACGGTTTCGACAGTTTCAAGAGAATGAGTGTCTGTGTAAAGGAAAAGTCCAGGTCGACCACGAGTCTCGGAGGAACAAGTGGCGAGAATCCGAGCTGCGTTTGAGAGGAGCCCATGGAAGTCAACAAATCGAGCCAGCCGTGAGCTTACGATCCCTCAATTCACTGTCTGGCGTGTGCTAACAGTAGGACTACATTTGAAACCATACAGACTGCAGCTCGTTCAGGCACTTACCAATGATGACAAAAGGAAGCGGGTGGAATTTTGCGATTCGATGCTGGAGATGATGGAAGACGAAACCTTCATTTCACGCTTAATTTTTAGTGATGAAGCGACTTTTCACTTGAGCTGCACAGTCAATCGTCACAATGTGCGTATTTGGGGAACAGAGCACCCACATGAAACAGTTGAGCAGGAAAGAGATTCCCCTAAGGTGAACGTCTTCTGTGCTGTCTCAAGACAAGGTTTATGGTCCCTTTTTCTTTGAAGGAAACACCGTTACAGGCCAAATGTATTTCGATATGCTCCAAAACTGGCTCTTCACTTAACTTCAAGCAGATTCGCATGACTTCATTTTTCAACAAGATGGAGCACCGCCCCATTGGCACCTGATGGTTCGAGCTTTTTTAAATGAATAAGTGCCCCAGCGATGGATTGGTCGGAAGGGGACCCAAGACCTTGCTCTTTGTGCTTGGCGTGCGAGATCCCCAGACCTCACAGTGTGTGATTTCTTCTTGTGGGGATATGTAAAAGATTACGTTTATGTTCCACCGCTACTCACTAACCTCGATGACCTTAAATATCGAATAACGACAGCGATTAACTCAGTGCATTGTGATATGCTGATAGGCGCCTGGGAGGAATTCTCTTATCGCATTGATGTTGCCCGTACTGCAGGTGGTGGCCACATTGAACACTTCTAAGACAGGAAATAAAAGTTTATTGTGAGTAGAATACTTGTGACTAGGCTGGAGTTTTGTGTTACTTTCCTTTAATAAAATATTGCGTAATAAAATCGGTTCATTCTTTTTGAATAACCCTGTATATTGTGACGTGGATGGCGCAACAGGAAGTAGGGGTCACGTGAACTCTGCGGTCTCGCGAGTGACATCACATACCCCCACTCCTTCTGTCATTGCGCGGCGCTCAGTAACCCACCCCCCGCGGTAACGTAACAACATAGGAGCCGCTGTCACTGCTACGGTAACAGGCCAGTAAACCCCCCCCAAGCGGTGACATAACAGGGGACACCGCTGTTAACACGGGGCAACAGGGAACGGTATAAGAAGCTGGCTGAGCGGTGTATGATCTGGAGTGACAGAGTGTGGAGAGCTGAGAGCAGTGGAAGTAATTGTGTAACTGTGAATTGTATAAGTGTATGAGCGAATGTGAAATAAATTTGCTATATTCAATACAGTGTGAAGTTATTTGTTGCGTTATATACCCAACATGTGACAATATATTGTAACGTGTTTACGTTACTGAATACGCCGTAGAGATCGTTAACTGGTTTATTGAACAATCTACAAATATCGGCTACAACTAATTATCACAATGTCACGGGTTTCCACAGTTTACAAACCCTACAACAAAATATCTTAACACAGTCTTCACTTGTCTTCACGTATTAATAACGCGGGAGCTATACAAGTCTCCCTGAAATACACACTCCGAGTATAACTTTACTACAGCAATCACTATGTCTGGAAAGCACACAATAAGTCTTCCGCTCGCTGACTTCTTCGTTATCGCACACTCGCAGGCTGCTATGTTTCAACTGTCCTGTTAGCTGCTGTGGAGTCCACTTATATAGCAGCAGTGCTTACCGGTTGCGTAATGAGTACCACGTCACAGTAGGAAATTGATTACGGGTACGTTAGCGTGGCGCGTTACGTCACCGCTGTTGACTAGCATTGCGTAGTTACCAGGTTACGGGGCTCTGGTATCTTCGGCTCCGCTCGTGACGTCACCGCGGCGAGCGTGGCGGGGTGATGTCTCGCCTGTTACGCGAGCGTTACGCCACCGCTGAGGGGTGGGAGGGGAGCGCTGATTCACCAGCCGCGTCACTGCTGGTGTGGGGGGG